ATTTATTTATTTATACTCATTAATGTATAGCTGTATCCCATCTTTCGGGTTAGGAAGCTTCCCTTTTGATAGGTGAAAGATCAAAATAGAATGAAATCATTAAAGCAAAGGATATTTCATGACCAAACAAACAAAAAAGGGATTGTAAATAAGGTAATACAATAGATTTAGCATTGGGGACGATTAAGCCCCTATCTGCCACATTTTATATTGTTTATAAATACTGTTGAGAATCCTGATATTTTCCAAAAGGACTTCTGGAATTTCTGAGCTGCTCTCCATGCACCATCGTAAGGGACCCTAAATGTTAGTTATAAAGGGCTAAGCAAAGCCTGTGGAACACAAAGAATCCGAATGGCTCAGAAATCAGAAGTACCTTGGTTTTCTTCCCTTCAGCTGTCAGAGAAAGAACTAATCCTGGGGACTGTTGTCTTATTGAAGTTGGACTGTTTATACAATATAAAGTGTTAAGCAAGATTTTGGATCACCTGAATAACTTTGCAGGATGGTCTCAGTGTGTGTGTCCAGATTTGGTGGCAGAATTGTAACTCCTTCCTGGAAAGTCAGATGGGCAGTCAGTTACATGGCGATTTGCCAGCAGCTCAGTTTTGATATTTAGGTCTGGGATTTTCTTTGCTGTGTTTTAATTAACTGGTTCATGTAGCTTTCTGCTTTTACCTACATTTAGAGCCTAATTTAGTTGTCACTGGCTGCTGTGCATGATTTTGAAGAGAAGAAAGGAAACTGCCTTACCCAAGGCAGATATCTGATTTGATTTCAGACTTAAAATATGTTTTCCTTTTAGTTTGTTCATCAATTCTCCTTTTTTAAAAAAAAAAAATTCATTCCCCCCCCCCTTTTTTTTCATGGACATTACCTTTGTTTCTTTTGCTTACATTTTATTTTTCAGACACCATTCATTGATCATCCTATCCCACTTCGGCCAGCTAAAACTATTACAGAGGTAACAGGAGTCCACAATGAAGTAGACCTAGATTGGTTGGAATAATTTATAATGGGTGCTATCAGATATTGACCCTGCTGTTGTAATAATGATGCTGTGACTATACGTCTATGTAGGAATTTAACTTTGTCTACTCATATTGCATTATTTATACTATGCTGGTGTAACTAAACAGTAGGATTCTGGCTGTTTTTAACTTTTCTATACTGTATTTTACTTGGATAATACGTAAGAGCAAAATAATATTGCAAATCAAAACTTGCCTATTTGAAAGAAGACATGATAGGGAGGTACAACTACACAATTTCCATGTAGTTGTTGGGTAGAAGGAGGGAAATCCCACAACATCCATGAATTCACAGTAGCCATGAGGTGCCAGAATTAACCAGTGTAGACCAGCACAGAATACCTAAGTGGTGAAAGGAAGAGAAGGCTCAGTGGAATTATGCTGTTAATGAACCTTCTCAGTCTAATGCTTTCTAGATGTGTTGGACTATCACTGATCACTAGACAAAGGACTGAAACAGGCAATGCTTTTATTCAGGATTTGAAGGTCTGAGAGGTAATGTTTTCCATCAGCCTTTGCCCTATCCTTAGATGTTAAAACTTCGTGCCATAATAGAAATCAACTTGATTCGATTCTAAATGGCTTTTAATATTGTATTGTATTATATTGAATTGGACTATATTATATTGTTTTATATTGTTTTATCTGATGTATGTTGCAATGGCCTGTGTGCCACACAATAAACATATTTTATTTGCTTGCTGGAGAGGTAAGCAGAGAATTACTCTCTGGAATGGCTTGTTCATTTCCATGTTGATAAAGCTGGGAAATTCAAGTCCCTCTCTAAAGTGGAGCTATTCAGTGGGTTTGGCTGAAAGTCAAACTGTACATTACAGACAACCCATTATTAAAGCTGAACATGCTAGTATTAAAGAAACATGACTGAGGCAGTCTTTCATGACTGAGAAATCAGGCTTACAAGGAAGAACATTTATGGCGTGCACACTCATCACAGATTTGCAAATTATGAGAATCCAGGAAAACTCCTATTAACGATACAATGATACTAAAACCTTCCTTCAGAAGCTTTTTGGTATTGTTGAAGTAAACATGTTCAAATAACATATTAAGACTGAGGAAGTATATTGCCTTCCTGGAGACCAGAAAATCTTACTCCTCATTCTTTGTCCTCCAGGTTCCATCAGAAAAAATCCTCCGCGCTGGAAAAGTGTTACGGAATGCAGTCCTCTCCCGGGCACCTCACATGATAAGAGACCGCAAGTATCATCTGAAGACATATAGGTATGTGTGAATTGGTTGAAGAAGGGGAACCCCAGACATAAACCTTTTGTCCTAACATTGTCTTGTTACATTTCCTCCCAGTTTCCTATCCTTTGTGGTTTTCCCAATACCAGACCCTACTTGGAATATTACAGCCATTCTCCCGGTACCCTGGAATGAGTTGCATTTGGCAAGCTTAGTTCTTGACCCGATTAAAGCACTAATAGTGAATGCACAAGCAAGGTGCCCTTGTACAGGCACGTGCTCCCTCAAATGCCACAGGGACCTGTTTTCTTTCATTTTCCAATGCCATGTTCAAACTGGGCCCTCTTCCATCAGTCTTGGAAGGTGGCGATCTTAGACACCAGTGGAGGAAAACCTGTGTCCCTTCAGGTATTGCTGGTCTCCAAGAGCTATGCGCCCAAGCTGGTGTGGCCCCTGTCAGGGGATGAGAAGAGCTTGGGAAAAGGAAAATGTGGACGGTCAGATCGTACAACTTCTTGCGAAATATTAAATGAACCTGCAGAAGACCCTAACCAACAGAGCACTTGCCGGTTGTTACACTTTCTCTCTCAACATTTGTTTAGATACAGCTTTCTGTTTGTTGCTGTTATTTTTCTGTGTGTCCTGCTGGTGGCAGCAATGCCTTCTTAAAGTGAGTTTGCAGTGGGATTTCAGTAGGGTAACAATGTACTGTACAACTAGGGATGTTTTAAGTTCATTTCCTTTATTTCCCTCTAGTAGTAACAATGACACCACACAAACACAGCGATCGAAAAAATGTAAATTATAATTTAAGAGACTGTGCATTCCTGTGTATGTCTACTGTGACATAATTTCCTGAATTCAGTCGAATTAAATTCCTTTGAGGGCTTATATATATATAGTTTGTTTCTAATTAAACAGAAAACAAAATACATGTTCACCAAACATACAGGCTTTTGATAGTAAATATGTTTGGTGAACATGTACCTGTATTTTGTTTTCTGTTTAATTAGAAACAAAACAGGTTACAGTGATTTATTTAACCTTTAATCACTTTGAATTTATCAAAGTTGCAGAATGAAAAACAATTTCTGTTCTTTTGTATACAATGTGCTTGTGATTTTTAAAATTATTGACAGAACTTGTGAGCCACGTAACTGCATTGCACTGGCATCCAAATTAATATGGACCACCAAAGAATCAAATCAAATCCATATAGCTGTGGTAAACAGTAAAACATTCCAAATATTAAGCATCAGTCTAGGAAAGCACCACCATGAAGGTCATTTGCTCAGTAACAATTAGCACATTGTTATAATAGCCACAGGGTTCTTTTGGAATAAGATAAGCCCTTCAGTATCTGGAAGTTCATTTCTGATATTCTTTGAAAAAAAATGTATAAATAGAGCATTTGCCCAGCAATTAAAATCAGTCATGAAATAGCTGGGCAAACTTATCTCAACTGCTGTTTCCAGAAGTATAGATGATACTAATAGAAAATATTCATTTTTATTTTAGCTCCCATAAATTTGCCTGTTCGTAAATGGTTCTGCAGTTCTTTGTTCTTGTGCATGATTTCCTCTTTCAGATG